TAAAAAAAATTTATTTCACCATTTTAAGTGATAGGCAGAGCAAGCAAGGATAATGGTTTTCGTATGAGAAGACGACGGCTACTTCAGACTGAAAATTACGGTAATAGTAGTAGTCCTGAGTTAGTCAGTGTTCAGTGCTGTAAATCGTTGAGGAATTCCCTCAACTGTCAATGGCCTCCATTATAATTTATACTGCAGACCTTCAATATACTTACATTAACCGTATAAGGTGCAAAGTTCTTATCAATATAAATGAATTAAATCCAAGCACAACATAATTACACCAAATAGTCAAAGATATTCCACGACAGTCTTCCTGCTCCATCATCAGATTTACTCCATACTTTATTGTAACCCATATTTTTTTTTTTAATGTAATAAGTAGGCAAACGAGCAGACGGATTACCTGATGGTAAGCAATCAACGCCGCCCATGGACACCCGCAACGGAGGAGTTACGAGTGCGTTGCCGACCTTTTAGGGATTAGGGATTTGGAGATTGAGGGATTGGGGAAGGGTCCGGGAAGGGGAAGGATTGGGCCTCCGGTAACCTCACTCACACGGCGAAACACAACGCTGTGGTTGTGTCACGCCGGTTTTCTGTGAGGCCGTGGTATCACTCCGGTCGACCGGCCCATTCGTGCTGAAGCATGGCTCTCCCACACTTAAATACACACACATATATGTGCGAAGTTTTCATTGATATAAATAAATTAAGTGCAAACACGAGGTGGTTACTGTGAACCGTTCAGGAGTTCCCTGAGCTGTCCTTCGTTCTCATCATCAGACCCCTAATGACAGTCACGAACAATCTTGGTGCAAAGTGCTCACCAATACGAATCATTCAAGCCTAAACACAAGGCAACTACTCCAAATAATGCAGGAGATCCCTCGACGGTCTTATGACTCCATCATCAGATTTACTGTATAAATTCATTGTGACCCATATATGTGCGAAGTTTTCATTGATATAAATGAATTAAGTCCAAACACGAGGTAGTTACCGTGAACCGTTCAGGAGTTCCCTGAGCTGTCCTTCGTTCTCATCATCAGGCCCCTAATGACAGTCACGATCAATTTTGGTGCAAAGTGCTCACCAATATGAATCATTCAAGCTCATACACAAGGTAACTACTTCTAATAATCAAGGAGATCCCTCGACTGTCTTCCGGCTCCATCATCAGGTCGATATCGACCATCGGCAAGTTGTAGCGTTATAAAAAGCCTACTAAAACAACATGCAAATGCACTGCTCACCGCTACAATTTTCGAAAGTTCCCCTCGGTTTCCCTAGGATTCCATCATCAGATCCTCACCTCATGAAAATGGGACCCACTCGGGAGTATAACCTTTCAAACAAAACAAGAATTGTGGAAATCGGTTCATAAAGGGCGGAGTAACCGGTGAACATACAAAAAAAAAAACAGCCGAACTTAGTATGTACCTCCTCTTTTTTTTGAAGTCGCTAGAATCTAGATTGGCGCTAGTGTGCCCAGTCCCGCAGCCTGTTACTTGAATCCTATTGTGGAGGAAGCTTTCATATTTTTAATATAATAATTCAAACTCCTTTATATATTTCTCTACGTTTTTGAGACTGGTCGCTATGTATTTAATCAAATGCAGATCAAAAATAGGTAGAACAAAGACATAATCCGTGACTGCACACGCACAGTTGACGCGACGGCTGAGCGGCTACTAGCCGTGTCGCAGGATTGATTCCCGAATCATTGTTCACATAGCTATAAATCACATCCAGACGTTGTGTGTGATGTTTTTGTGAATTTGCATGTTTTTATAAACCGACCCACGACACAGGAGAAAATCCTATCATGGGTCAAAGATTTCATTTAAAAAAACAAAACAAAAAGATACGGTGTATTGAAATCTTAAATTGTCAAATAAAAATCCATGTTTCGTAATTTTCTTAAATCATTTTCCGATTGAAAAGTTATTAGTGTGAAATTGTACATTTTGTTAGATTTTTTGATAAATACTATATGTATAGGTTGTGTTAGTAGGTAATGTGATTTAGATCTGATTAGGCTACATCCGTTCAGCGATGCACTTAATATATTTTGGTAATGGTTTTCCTTGTACGAAATGTACTTACTTAGGTAAGGTAGGTACCTAACTCCGTATTAGGTAACCGTATAACTCCGTATAACACGGTAAATTTATAAAATAATTTTTAACAAAAAAAGACCGACTTCATTTTTACCCGACTGCCAAAGAAGGAGGGTAATGTTTTTCGAGTGTATGTAAGTATGTATGTATGTCTTTTCCTTTGTGACCTCCTGTAGCCTAAACGGCTTGATGGATTTTGATGTATGAGGTATCGTTAGATTTGTCTTGATTACGGGAGTGTCATAGGATACATTTTATCCTAAAAGTCCCACGGGATAAAGACATAATAATATTTTTTCTAAATTTCCCTTTAAAAAAATATGTATGCGGTATCATTAGATTCATTTCAATCACGGGAGTAATTAATATAGGATACGTTTTTTCTCAAAATTCCCACGGGAACATGTTAATTCTGCGTCAACGCAAAGCAACTCCGAAATAATTTAAAATGGTACTTACATATACATAGTCTTCTACATCTACAACATTTTCGTTAAATAAAAACAGCTAAAAAGTTATAAATAAAAAAATTATTATTAAAAAAACAAAATACCCGACTGCACACTAAAAAAAGAGTAAAACAAGCCCCACAATACAAATTTACTGAATATAATTTATAAATGTTGATGGAAAGCATCGCAGGCGGGGACCACCTTGACCGCCACCAACGAAAATTCTGCTAAATGGTGCACAACAGAAATGACTATAAATAAGCCTCTGTTGGTCCCCGCCTGCGATGCTTTCCATCAACATTTATAAATTATATTCAGTAAATTTGTATTGTGGTACTTGTTTTACTCTTTTTTTAGTGTGCAGTCGGGTATTTTGTTTTTTTAATAATAATTTTTTGAAGTCGGTTCTACTTTTGTAAACAAAGTAAAAAAGCAAAGATATTTTTTTGCTTTATAAAAAGCAAAAAAATACCGATTTCCAAAATTCTACATAGATACCAAACAACAACAATATTAGATCAGGCACGAAACTGAATATTATAAAAATACGGTTTTTAGTATTATTTTCTACATAAATAAATAAAAACATGTATTAATTTCTACAAAGAAAATTCATGTTTTGCCTTTTAGTTTACCTTTTGAAGTCGGAATATTTTTTTTAAAATTTTTTTATGTACTGCCTGCAACACTGGCCAGTTACATTGGCTTACCACGACTCAGAACTATATAAGTACCTTATATTAAGTATTCCCGTAGTTATAATCTGGGCTTTATATAAATATTTCTGATATAGCCGAAATACTGATTATTAAAATTTATTATAATAATGAACAATATCCATCGAATAAGTTTAATTACTTAATGAAAAAAGTTTAAGTGGAGTGGAGGATAATGATGTCCTTCATATTTTGATGGAGTGTGCCCGAAATGAAAATACCAGGCTCAATACTTTTGGACCGCAAAGGTCAAAAGACATAGGCTATTGCAAGTCTATTCTTTCTTTTCCAATGTCTGATGAAGCACAACATGTGTGCCTATAAATTAGTGAAAGTAGATCGTCAGCTAGTAATAAGTTACAAAGATATGGTTACCAACTGACAAAATAAACTAAAAAATAGAACATTTTTATGAAATGAGCAATATGTACAACTAATTCGTATTCGAACCACAAGCATCGATGGTTCAGTGGTAGAATGCTCGCCTGCCACGCGGGCGGCCCGGGTTCGATTCCCGGTCGATGCAAGTTTTTTTGTTTTTGTTATTATTTTATTTTGGTTTTTGTTCTATTTATTCTCTATTTATATTTCAAAAACTTATTTTATCTTTACAGGGCTAATGAGACAGCAAAAACCTTATTCTAAAACTTAGACAAAAATGAACTTAAAACACACAATACAAAGTACGAACAAACGCACTGTATACGTAAATATTTATTCGTTCCATAAATGAAGCAATCTTTGACGTTTGTGATATGACAAAGATTCGTTGCAGCTTCAGGAAGACGCTTGTAGCAGGGACGATCAGTTTAGTAGATGCAAGCAGTTACAATGGAATTGACCTGGGATTGATTTTCAGGCAAACGTATTTTGGAACAATTTTAGCTTATCAGTATGAGCCAAAATTGCTTTCAAATCCTAAAAGTTCATAGTTCAGTAAAAGAAATATCAGTACTTGATTTCAATAATTTCATTTTTTGGATATAAATGCAAACAGCGCCATCTCTTATCTTTTGGACGTACTAATAAGAATGTCTTAAACTACTTTTGCTATTCCACAAAAGATGGCGCTCACCACAGAAAGATACTTTCATACTATATTTTTTCTACAGATGGCGTTGATGAACATGTATTTTAATAAAATATATCTTTATTTTATTTTTAGGTATCAACTGACACATGATTAAAAATCATAAAGTTCGATTCTAACGTTTTTTTTTGTTTTATAATAAATCAATCACAATGAATTCTTATTTTATTTGTGAAAACCCAGTGTTTTGCTTGTAAACACATAAGAAACCATGACTAAAAATATCTAAAACTGTTTTCTCAATTAATAAAGCTAGCAGAGTATTATTATGCAACGGATCATACCGTTGTCACAAAATCCGATCCTGCCATCCAAAATTAGAGGACTGTTGACCGGGCTGTTGTGTAGATTATGAGATAATTGGACACAACGTCGCTTTACAAAGCGGCTTTTAGCTATTATTGCCTAAAAAAGGATAAAATTTTCGTACAAACAGCGCTCGTTTGTGACTACGATCCGGATTTGCGGCTAATCGCCTAAAATAGTCGGGTGAACTTGAAATAGTGTGTATTAAAAGTATCTGCCTAATGTGCGATTTTTAACATTGTCTACCTACTTTCTATTGCGTTTTTTTAATGTAGGAATAACGTAGGTATGTAACTACCTACTTAAATTGTTTTTTTTTGTGAGTGTCGAGATTTAAAAATGTTTGTGAATCCACTTATTAACGTTTTATTATGCTCGCTCACACAATTTTGCAACTAAGAAATGATTTGATACATGTATTCTGTATACCTATTCGAAAAAATAAAACATAGTGATGTAGATTGTTGACATTCAAACAGAACCCGCTTTAGTACATAGGAATAAGTAACTGTACCTAAGTGTTTTTTATCTACTGCTATGATTGTGTTTACCACTTTTTTTGATGTCATGACTTGAAATTACTTCTCCTGCCTAGGGAGAGGCGAGAGGTTGTGTCAGAATCTTACCGACTAAAAACCTCCCCATTCCTTCTCCTGCTCTAGACCGCGGCGAGGCCGCGGTGCCATTGCGTCTGGTTTTCACTTTGGTAAGAACTTAGCCATGTGAGAATTTAACTTTACCTTTGGTTATAGCTTTTTACCCTTCGAGACAAATGAAGAATGACAATTCTTTTACCTAGGTCTTAATTATAACCTATCCTTATCACACTACGTATCATAGTCTACATAGGTACCTACTTCTGTTGCGTTTCACATCTGTAGACTGAGAATTCCTGAATGGTCTTTAAAAAATTTTTTGTTCGGTCAATATTGTCGTGGTGGTCCAAGTAAAGTAGTCCGCTTTTCATACTCAAACGTACCAATGTAGCTTTTCCGAGTTACCTATACTTATGTAGTTTCCTTGATTATTTAGACACCACTGACATACGGCGAAGGAAAATATAATTTCTAATTATAATTCCGAATTGTTAATCTGCCATAATCATTGCTCAAACCTTCTCCGTGTGAGAAAGGTCTTCAGTATATGTAGGCTGATGATGATGTAGAGAAATAAACGGGACTACCAATGTTTTGAAGACACTTAATATAGAAAGTAATCATAAAATGTATGTAGGTATGGTTGTAATTAATGAATAATTTAAGTTATCAATGCACTAGATAGTAAGCTGCAGACAACAATGCGGCGCTGAGTCAGTGTTGTGTTATGACACATCGTATGCCAATGTTATTGATTACCGCAAATAAAAAGTCAATTAGCGTCAATATGGACACAGTAAAAAGTTAAAGGTTCGTTACATTTTTAATGTAAATTATCTTTTGTTTTTTGGTAATTTATTAAGGGTTTTTTAATATTATAAATGTTCTGTTACTGACTGGTTTCTAGCAATATAAATATTTCCTTTCGGAGAATCCAAACTAATATGATTAATGCGAAAGTAACTCTGTTTGTCTGTCTTTTCTACACGCCTAAACTACTGAACCGATTTCTGTGAAATTTGGTACAGACATAGTTTGGAACTCGAGAAAAGTCAATCATAGGATAGTTGTTTTTATACCAAATATCTGCAGGAAGGTTACCTACTATACCACGCGAACGGAGTCGCGAGTAAAAGCTACTATAGAGTATAATATAAGCCGATCTTAGAATATGTTCTAAGATCGATTGCTTATGTACTACTTACATTGGTTCAACAGCTGTTCTGTTTTGGGCTGTAAGACGCAATATTATTTTACTTAATATTAGAATGTGTTAAAAGTTTGTGAGAATGTATGTAGATATATATGTTTGTTGTTCACTAAAAAATGGGTGGACCGATTTGGATGTTTGGTGTAATTATGTAGATAGGCGGAAACCAGTAGTGTAGTAGGTAGTGTAGCTTTTTTATTTAGGGAGGTACTTACTGTAGGTAATTTCTGATCTTTTTTTATTTATTTTTTATATTGATGAGTCATAGTTTTAGTTTTTACAACAGACTGACTGACTGAACCCTAAGAATTAACTCTGTCAGTCACTAACATCCGTTGATAAATGATAATAATGTATGACAACCTTTTTTCTGCAACTTAGTTTCCTTTGCAATCCTTCTATTGTTATAAAAATAATTATTGATGTTAAAATTTGTATACTTAAATACATATAAAAATATATTTATTTTTGCAATATTATGTAAGTAGGTATGTAGAAATAAGAATGACGTACAGAAGTTTTTTAAGAGAATAAAAATCATCAATAGGTATACTTCTCTTGTTTAGGAAAGGGGAGTGTCAGCTTTTTTCCCAGCTGACCATCAGCCCTAGTGTGCTCCATCTGCAGTGGTGTCTTTGAGGCGCGCGTGGATCGCTCCACGCCGAACGCTCGGAAGTAATTTTCTCTGCCTCATCTTGTTTCGTTCTAATCTTTAGTGGTACTTTTAAATTTGTGAGAATTATTAGTGATAATAAAAATTTGTATAAAGTTACATAATTTGGATTTAGTAGCCTCGTCGTCATTTTATATTATGCTTTGGTTTAATAAAGCGATGTTGGTCAAAAAAATATTTAATTTCTCTTAAAATTTTGTGCGGACAACAAAATTATGTAAATCGATATTATTTCCCCTTGTTTCTTTAAAGTCATGCGATACTTTTTGTACTATGTATAGATCGGTTTCTAAGTTCTGTATTGGCAAAAAGCAATGCGCCCAACGTGGGGCTCGAACCCACGACCCTGAGATTAAGAGTCTCATGCTCTACCGACTGAGCTAGCCGGGCATCTGCGTAGTGAGTCAAAATTAACAGCTGCGTCCTTGTGTTAAACTCAAGATATTTTTTCTCCATTATTAAATTTTAAATTGATATCTCTTTTACTGTATAGATATTTTTATCTGAATGTGTATTTATATAAGTTTACCTCACAACGTACCTTATTCTTATAACCAGAACTACATTATTATTTACCTACAAAACTTCTAACAAAACTACGCCTATTCGGTCGTAAAAAAATTATTTCATTACACACTGTATTATTTGCATAAAAGATCATAATATTTAATAAAAAAAAAATAAACATAATCTGAAACAAAAGAAGTATTAATTCCTGTATAAATTGAAATAAGCACGAGTTAATCAACACGTGTTATCACTTATTACTTATCACTTTATTATGTAAAGTGTAATATTAATTAGTTGTTCCACATTTTTATTCAAGATTGTCGAAATTGTTACATCATGGCGCCAGCCACCAATCGCCGGCGCCACTGTGCCAAATGTACAGTCACAGACAGTGCGTTCACATACAAATAATAACAATAAGATTTACTTACATATTTAGAAATTGTATGAAAACAATTTGCCAATTTATTTCAGACACGTCCAGTTCCATTGTCGGAATTTTAAGAATACTGGTACCCAGGTACTTATTAAACTATTCTTTTTTTTAATACTAGTTTTCTTCCTGCAGCGACTTCGTTCGCAAATCTAAAAAATAATCAGTAGATTTTTCCTCTTAAATTATTAATAAAAACGGTATCAAAATCTGTCACGAAGTTTTAAAGATTTAGGTATACATATAGATAGACAGCCGGAAGCGACCTTGCTTTATTCTTTGTTTAATACTACGTACGTAGTGATTCGATTCTTAGTTAGTTTGCACTCTCTAGTGAGCAGTTTTCTTATAATTATGAAATGTTTTTTTTTTTTTTTTTTTTTTTAAATTAACTAAATTTGTTATTTATGCCAGCAATCCAACGACTTATTAGTATTGGTAATGAGTACTGTCACACATTTTTACCTTTAATTGTTGAATGAAATGCTCATAAAGTATTAAAAAAAAAAAATCGGTGCAACAACACTTCAGTTGATATTTAATGTTCTTTTAGTTATGCAGCCAATCATAGATTGATAATTTAGTAATTTAAAACGAATAAAAAGGTATACCGTTGTAATTTAATATTATCTAATTGTAGACTTTATGGTCCCACAATTGGCTACAGGTCACAAAGGTCAATCGTACGTAACTCACAGAAGTTTATGGCGGCGAATTCCTTGCAGCGCAGTCAAAGGGTAATAAAAATGAAATGTCATTAAACTTTTGTATGCGATTGTCCCCAGTTCCCCATTCAGTATTCTAGCGGCGACTGAAGGAAGCACGACGGACAGTTAGCTTGAACATAGCAACGCTGATGACCTAAGCTCACATACGATCGCTTATTACATTGATAACCATCTGAGGTCTATGTGGGTCACTGGACCCCCGATAGCTCGCCTTTGGCCGGTCATTATTTATAAGCACCATAATGACGATTAAGTTATGTAGGAAAGTAATTTAATTTATACATGCAAGTGCGAGATGGGTTGGTATTTTTGTATTTTTATTTGCTATCTGTCCTTTTTGGTGGAGAAGAATCATACAATGGGTCCTCTCGGTCTGGATAGGGCGAGAGGGAGTGCCCGACTCTTACTGAATAAAAGCCAGCATGTTCTTTCTCCTGCTCTAAGTTATTACACTACATACATTATTGCGCTTGACTTACAAACTTAGCTCAGCTATGTGAGCTTGAGTGTCTTTAAGTACAATAGTCGAATGAGCAGCCGTGGGTCACGCGCATAATATATATAGGCTATTTTCAAATTCAGCAATCATCAAAATGAACCTTATCTCCAAATACATTTTTTTTTGTTTTTTTTTTTTTTTTTTTTTTAAATACGTTGCCCCATATTAGGATTTTCTCCTGTGTCGTGATTGTTGTTACAAACATACAATTTCACAGACACATGACACCCAGCCCCGGAACTACAATTTGTGGATCACACAAAGAGTTGTTCCGTGCGGGAATCGAACCCGCGAGACGTTGCACGGCAGCCAGTTGCCCAGCCACCGCACCAACCGTGCAAACAACAACGTACAAACGTACAATGAAATGTATGCCCAAACTTATAAAATACCTGTAACATTGGTTCATCTGCCTAACTCTTTGTTGGGTTAGGAGGTGTGTGGTGCAATGTTTGTTTTAAGTAGCCGTTTAATATGTACATTATCATAACAAATATATTTAAAGTATTTCGAATGACTAACAAAATATGCGTAATTTTTTGAATGGTAAACATGATTTTCAAGTTCTAATAAATTGATCTTTTGATTCACTTTTGAGTTATTTTGCTTGTTTTACTAAGTACCTACCATATAGCAATGATAGCCAACTAGTAGGAATGGGCATGTCACATTTGTCGAAGAACCGACGACATGACTACCTCAACGGTAGACATGTCCTGAAGTGGAGATCGTATTGTAGGGCGCCCTTCAGCTTGGGGGAAGTCTCGCATCCACAAGAGGCCTATGTCTAGCAGTGGACGGAAACGGGCTGGCGGCGGATGATCATTAGTATCAATCTCTTTGAAGATGTTCTACAGAAGGCAGCAAAAATCCGTAAGCCTTTTTTCTACCCGTACTAACAATCATAAATTTAATCGATTAAGTTGTATTTCAAAGTTTTTGTAATCACACTTTTAATAAGTTGATATTTTTTGTACAATAATACGTGTTTTATTTCATAAAATTTGAAGTTGTTGTGGCTTCCTGTGATCCCGTGATTGGTGAATACATACATATAATATTAATGACTAGGTTCTGCAAGCGGCTTCACCCGCGTAGTATATTGATAAAAAGTAGCCTATGTCCAGATTTCATCCAGATCCGTCCAGCAATTTTGGCGTGATTGAGCAACAAACATCCAAACATCGTAACGTTCGCATTTATAGTAATAGTAGGATTTTGACTCATAGAATCAATTATTTCTTGTTGACCTACTACCGACTGAATACTCATGTACCTTTATGTTCTCCTAATTGACGGTGTAAAATAAATAAATACTATTTATTTTGCGGTTTTATATAATAAGTGAGTTAGCACTTTGGTTACGGTTTTCCCAGTTAGTCACTAGACACGGACGTCAGAGAAATTAGGCGCAACTTGTTTATAGGGAAGGCTGTTTTAAATGTGTAGTGACTGGCAATCATGAAGACATCGTCCAATATACATATATGGTAATACTTTTACTCGTATAGCAAAAATTATCTACCACAATGGCATATTTTGCCTGCCTGTGGGCTTTTTTTATGTGATAGGACGGCAAACGAGCAGACGGATTACCTGATGGTAAGCAATCGGCGTCGCCCATGGACACCCGCAACAAAGAAGGAGTTACGAGTGCGTTGCCGACCTTTTAAGGATTGGGATTTTGGAGATTTAGGGATTGGGAAGAGATTGGGGTAGGGGAAGGATTGGGCCTCCGGTAACCTCACTCACACGGCGAAACACAACGTTGTGGTTGTTTCACGCTGGTTTTCCGTGAGGCCGTGGTGTCACTCCGGTCGAGCCGACCCATTCGTGCCGAAGCATGGCTCAACTACACTTTAAAGTACGCTTGTACGAACTTGTATATAATGTAAAAATGTGTATGCAAATTTTTCCCGCCAGCGCATGCGGAAATCCCCTCTAAGAGCAATAATTAGGTAGGTATATTAGAAAGTGCTGAGTCATGGCAGTGTCTTGCGGCCAGGATTTTGGGCTGTGTGTCATCCACTTAAGTTTACATTTCAATTGATTATTCGCGAGCTTTAAGATCAATTGCCTTCAAAAACTTCTTTTCAATTTTCGTTGATCTTTTCCTGACCAAAGGAGAGTAACTTATAGCACGCCAGTCCGCTAGTCGCCAATTACGTTTCTAGTCTGTGTGATAAATACTTATTAAAAAAAAATAAGTTTTCAAATCTATATTAATGGTAAAAGAGACAATTGACAATCAAGATCGATGACTGATACACTTTGAAACGCATCCAATTCTACCAAGACCTCTTCGAGTTTGGGCATGTCCAAAGACCCATTAATAAGTCCAAGAATTAAATATTGATTTGATATTCTTCGGTAGGGAAATAACTGGTGGATTTCATGGTATGCTTTCCCAATAGTTAAGCGGTAAGTTTGAATTTCCTGTGTTCTATATTGATTTCCTGTAATATTCATACACTATTACAAACCTATATACGTAAGTAAAATTGGTAATACCGACTCACGTAGGTAAATTAATTAAAATTAAACCGTTTGAGTCGTGTGCAATAACCCTGTTGGTCAAGTAACCGCAATTAAAAACCTCAACTTCATTTAGAAGAAACAAATGAAAGCAAATGGTCAGTTATGTATAGTGCCGGTTTTGGAAGTTTTTTTTTTCATTAATCGTTGCCTATTATTAGGATTTTTCCTGTGTCGTGGGTGCGTTTACAAAAATACAATTTCTAAATACATATCACACCCAGACCCGACGGGAATCGAACCTGCGACAAGGTGCCTGATGCCATTCGGACAATAGTCGGTCTGTTACTATAGGTTATAGTATACAAGACTAAATACACTACTAGAAAAATAGAAAACATAGGAAATCGAATAAGAAACTCCTTTTTTCATAGTTGTATAATCACCCAATAACTTCCCAGCCCTGGGTAAGGAAGTTTTTGACTCTTAATGACGAAGAATCAACTTGTCCCTTCTCCCATGTCAGACCGGGTCGTGGTACATCATTGCCGTTGCACTCGCAAACCTGGCTGGACATGGATCTTAATGGGTCCCGTCTGTGGTGTTTTGATGGCTCTTCGAAACGCGCACTACCGTTCTAGTCGTGTCGTGACGCCGCCGGGACATCAGGAAATCTGCCTCATCGCTTCGCCTCTTCCTTGGCTAGCATGAATGTCTCTCAGAAGGATGAGACAGATACAGTAGGCTTCCCATTTCAGCTCATGCTCCATCGTGTCCTCTGTGTGGTCTTCTGCAATTAAGATAGCCTGGCGTTTGCTTCCAATAAATCCCGAAATATCTCCCGAAGCATTCAAGTTTGGTAAACACCTTCTTCAGGCGGATGATATGAAACTCTATTAAGTTCTTTAATTAGTTAGTAGGCACATTTTGAACATTGGCCTTTATTGGTATGTTTATAATAAACCCGAGTTATTTTATGATGGTCACCGAATAGGGGTGAGTGGCGAGGCCTTCTGACTAGGCCTACAAATTATGAATGTAGACCAGTAGGCTACTAGTCCACTCTTATTGAGTTAATAGGTATGAATATACTTCTAAGTACCTACGTAAGACTACGCTTAAATCAAAGTAATGACACAGAATCATGGTACTCATTTCTGAGTAGTAACGGGAATATTAACCGCACTCATTATATTTAGTGGTTTAGTAGTGTTGTGTAATAAAAAATATACTTGTAGAACTCATTTAGATTAACGAGAACCGGAGGTATATGAGATAGGAGACAGGTAGGGTAAAATCAAATGTTGCTAGAAGCTAGACGCATTTAGATGGAAAGAGGAAGAACTAGATTCAATTTAAACATGATATTTACTTCTCATGATCATTATTAAGTCAGAAAACATCTCCTGGATCACCCATCACCTATAGGTGGCACTTCCTGACTTCTTTACTCTGAGTGGGGCAAGAGGGAGTGTCAGACTCCAAGTGATAAAAAATCACCCCGTTGCTTTTCCTGCTCCAGGTCGGAGCAGCGGCACATTATTCCCCCCTTCCCATTCCCATCCCCAAATCACAAACAATCCAAAAGGCTGACTTGTGTAGTGTGTGTGCATCGGTAGCATGGATTGCTTTTCATCAGGTAATCCTCCGTTTCCTCATTTGCTAAACCTATTCCATAAAAAGAACCCCAACTAATACAAAGAACGGAAAATTTGTGTTCATTATACCTGTAAACAAAAATCACACTAACAAAGTACCTTACGATCTTCGTAATAAAGGTTAATTTGGTTGTCATTACGTTCATTTCTCGGTACGATGACAATATGCGAACATATCGAATCGTTCACCCCGTTTACGAGCGGGTACGGACGGTTTTATGCGCGACGTGCAACGTTATGGCGATGCGCGTGCGTTTATTGTAATTAATTTAGGTACTATATGAATGTATGTTATGAACTTATGAGCAATCATGTCAATCGAGATTTCTTTTAGTCGATTTTCTTTAGTTATTTGTCATATTTGTAGTGCAATGATTTGATTGTTCATTGGTCGATTGTTATAGTTATTTACGGGTCGTTTCATTGGTTGGTTTGTTGCACATATTTTTTTATTTAGGTACTCTTCTTTAGGTCCTTTTTTTGTCAAGGGAAAATCATCAAATGACTTCTCCCGCCCAGGGTTAGGCGAGAGTGAGTGTCAGACTGTTACTGACTAAAACCAGGGGGCAGAGGGGATTTAGTCAGTTCCTTCTCCTGCTCTGGGCCGAGGCCGCGGTGACTCATTGCGCTTAACCCGCAACCCCGGCTTTCTTTGGGTCCTGAAATCTAGTTCAAAACACTAAATGACAGTACTGCACAGTAGTAATGGACTGCTGTACAACGTGTTGCTGATTCGATTCCAGAAACAACTATTTTGTGTGATCCACAAGATTTTGTTTCGGGTTTGGGTGCGATGTGTATGTGAAATTGAATGTTTTTTAATGCACTAGCGACAGATACATTACGGTCTGTTTCACAGTGTCTAGATATCTTATGTACCAGATTTTAAATATAGAACGTAATTTGTATGAACTATCTGCTACATAATATATTTATCTATTTGTTAACATGAAGGTAAGAAAAGAGGTTTTATGCACCTTTTTTTCTGTTAGGAGGATTTCCTGCAAATAATAAGGAGTACAATGTTTAAAAAATTAAATTAAGATAAAGACTGTCCGGACTCTGGACGAGGTCATTATTGAATCATTCCTTGTTAATTAGGTTTTTAGGTACACGCTTATTATTTACTCGAATGAGTAAGTAACTTAACAAAGTTTTTGTCCGATGACGAGGCTGAAATTGATGAACTATTTAATTATTATTTAACTAGCTTCCTACCTGCGACTTTGTCCGCAAACCTTTAATAAATACACCTAAACCTTACCTACTCGTAAATCGTTCTTTCCTATTGAAAAAAACGCATTACAATCGGTCACGTAGTTTTATAGATCTAAGAAAAAAAATAGATACGTACATAATGACGTATTAAACGTTATTATTTTATTTAAAAAAAACAGTATATCTAGAATAGCAGTCTCTTTATATTGATAACAATGTCACAGATTATGAAATAGTTAACTGATATCGCAATGAAATTAGAATAACATACACCCTTTGTTCTTTGACGGGCTATGCAGAGATGCAACCATCG